CTAACTGTTTTCCCTATTGTTCCCGGAATATACTCTTGGCTTCGCTATCGTTCAGGTGAACTTCAAGGGCCTTTTCGCTGTGTCTTTTCCACATTCAATAAGACGCAGACAAATACAGACTCGTACTACATCATGGTCTGAATCTAACCATTTGCTCCGGAATGAGTGACAGTTTTCTATCAAGCCTCGTAATCGGTGGCTGATAGCGACGTGGTCTAGTTGGTTTCATCGTTCAGTCGATTTTGGGTAACTGCATGTCAAAAGATGTTTCCTTATGCTTGAAGTTGGTATTTGCTACCCAAATCATCGAAGGGTAGCTCCATATACATTTTTAACAGCTATTACTCAAAAGGGTGTTTGTAAGTAGAAAATGCAGCATAATTATCGTATAAGCTATATCTATATATTATTAACAGATTATTGTATGTGGTAGTCAAACGACGTTTCAACTTACCAATAGCGACCAATCAAAAACATAAATAGAATAGACTATCATTGCAGATATACCCAACAAACAGTCATTTTTATGGGCTATAGACAATAAGCGTTTTTACAGAAAACAAAACTAATGAGACTTTGTAAAACCAAAGGATAGATTAATCAATATCATATTTGTTTTACATCTTTCACTTAAATCATCTAATGTCTTTATTCCAATAGAGTAGTATTATTCACAACCTTTTTGTAAGATTTCACAACTGCGAAATTTTGTATACGTTGAGGACTACATATGATATTATCTGTGACAATTATAATAAATAATAAATTTTTCTAAATTTTTCAGCGACATAGTGAACTCTAGCTTTTAATCTAAGAAACTGGCATTTGTAATGGTTCGATTAGGTATTACCATCTTAGATAAATACCGAAAAAGTTACCAATTTAATTATTATCAGTTATATCGACCGTAGCTGCTACCTTGACGTGGTGGTCGAGCTTGCCTATCGTGATGACCCAACCGAGCTATCCTGGCTGGAACATATGTTCCTTAAGGTTCTACCATGCCAGACTGGTCGATTGGAGAACGATGAGACTAAAAGCAGCTACCCAAGGTCTGAGGGCGAAGTCGTACTGCTGACTGCAGAGGGGTGTGACAGCAGTAAGGTGTTTCCCTCGGACAACCAGCATCTGCAGCGATGCTGCCTTCTCACAAGGAAGGAAGGGTTAGAAAAGGTCGGCCCTAAAAATGTCACACCTCCCCTAACTCACGGATTTCCGTCTCCTTGGGTAAGGGTGCCCATTAAGGGCCTTTAAGAACGGAGCTAATACTCAAAAAACATTTCATAAAAAGGCCGTGCGTGACCGGCCTCAAGCAGTTGTCCCTTGGACTCTGCGGTCACGCACCCAGGTCTCTAAGACCAACACTAATCTATCTTCCTTTTCAGGTTCCTCAAGAAACAACCTTCCACGGTGTGGGCAGCCGGGAAGTGACAACCGCCCTCATACCCATAACAGCACGCGAGACCAAATTGGTCAAAATCAAATCCTTCCTACACCCCCTAGTACCTCTCTTATCTCCACGACTAACTCTTCTCACATTCATTCATCACAGTGCACAGCTAATGCAGACGATACGAGTTCGCGAAACGTCGTTCCTGGTCTCCTTAAACCTCGCTCTAGACTACATGTTGGAGCATTTAATGTACGGACATTGTGTCAAATAGGGCAACAGGCTTCCTTAGCTAGGACTTTAGAATCTCGTGCCATCGATGTATGCTGCGTCTCGGAAACGCGCATACAGGATCCTAGTAAAGTCATTAACCTGATTTCACCTTGTCAAAACGAAGAAGCAGCTCGATTTATTCTTCGGGTATCCGGTAGCCCTGATGCTGCTTCCAGGGGTCTTGCTGGCGTAGGCATAGCATTGAGTCGTAGGGCAGAACAATCTCTCCTTGACTGGATCCCAATAGATAGTCGATTGTGCGCTGTCCGACTAAACGGGACAGTAAGGACTCGGAAGGATAGGGACAATCGCCGTTGCCTCTTCATCGTATCTGCCTATGCCCCCACTGACTGCAGTTCAGACGAGGTTAAGGATGAGTTTTACAGAAAGCTCTCGGACCTCCTCCAAAAAGCTAGGCGCTCTGATATAGTAATAATGGCTGGTGACTTTAATGCTCAAGTAGGTAGACTAAGTGAGCAGGAGAGACACCTAGGTGGATGTTATGGTGTCGCGGCTCAGAGAACAGACAATGGCGACCGTCTGTAACAAGCATGCTCAGACAACTGCCTATTCTTAGCAAACACTAACTTTAGGCATAAGGAAAAGCATCGGTTGACCTGGCGACCTCCAAAGTCGTCTCAACGTTGGACTCAACTAGATCACATCGCCATCATCCACCGATGGAGGGGTTCGATAGAGGACTGTCGCTCGTTCTGGAGCACATGTCTAGATTCAGATCATGCCCTAGTGCGAGCCCGTATTTGTTTGAAGCTTACTGGGCGTAGGAAAGACACCGTAAGAAAGCCTCTTAGGGTTTTACTTAATGATAATAAGGCGAAAAATATATTTCAGGAACAACTAGAAAGACAGTTAGGCGACCATTTAAGCGATTCCCATCCGGAAGCAGGATGGAATGATATCAAAAAGGCTGTGGAAACAGCAGTGATATCTGCTAGTAAGGTTGACCATAAGGCTAGAATGAAACCGTGGATCTCAGTAGCATCCACCGATCTGATGGATGCCCGAAAACTCATCCCACCTGGCTCTGAACATGATGAAGAACGAAGTCAACTTAGGCGCAGACTTATGAAAAGCCTACGTAACGATCGCGAACAGTGGTGGGTGGCGAAAGCAAAAGCGATGGAAAAGGCAGCGGCGATCGGCAACAGTAGACAACTTTTCCGACTTATCAAGGAAACTGGTATTAGGAATCCTAGTGTGAGTGAGACTATCTCAGAAAATGACGGGACTATTATTTATTCTCAATCCAGGAGACTGGATCGATGGGCAGAACAGTTTAGGGAGCAGTTCAACTGGCCTCGAGCCACTCTTCAGTTACCCACGATCTCCAGTCATCCTGAATGGCAAATCGACGTAAGTCCGCCTAGTCTTAATGAAGTTGAAAAAGCGTTAGAAAATCTGAAACGAGGGCGAGCTGCAGGTCCTGATAGACTGACTCCTGAGATATTTAAGGATGGTGGTCCAGTTTTAGCAGCTAGATTGACCGAGATCTTAGGTAGAATCTGGGAACTGGACGTAATCCCATCCGACTGGTCTCAATCACTAATTGTCCCAATCTATAAGAAAGGACAGAAGTCTTCTTGTGACAATCACAGAGGAATAAGTCTAACTAACATAGTATCTAAAATATTGGCCTCAATAATACTTCGACGCTTAACGAAAGCTCGTGAAGAGCAGACTCGAGAAAACCAATCTGGTTTTCGACCTGGACGTGGCTGTATAGACCACGTCTTCACACTCAGACAGGTCCTGGAACACAGACACACATTTAGGCGTCCTACAATAGTTGTCTTCCTAGACCTTAAGGCGGCATTTGACTCTGTTGATCGTAAGGTTCTGTGGCAGTGTCTGTCATTGAAAGGTTTACCAATGAAGTACATTAACCTTATACAAGCTCTTTACTCGAACACCACTGGTCGAGTGAGAGCTTATGGCGAACTGTCACAGGAATTCTCTACTTCAAGTGGTGTCCGTCAGGGATGTCCACTTTCTCCATTCTTGTTTAATTTTATCATAGACATGGTCCTAGAAATAACCTTATCCTCGTCTGAATTTTCAGGAGTAGACCTTTTACCAGGTGGCTCGCTTATTGACTTAGAATATGCCGATGACATAGTCCTACTTGGTGAAGATGCTGACAAAATGCAGAGTCTTCTGACTACCATAAGCAACAATGCAAGCATGTTCGGGATGCGGTTTTCCCCCTCGAAATGCAAAATGTTGCTTCAAGATTGGGTTTCATCGGCACCTGAACTAGTGATAGGGAGTGAAGTAATCGAACGTGTAGACCGCTTCACCTATCTTGGGAGTCTCATCAGTGCCGATGGCCTGGTGACTGACGAAATCTCAGCACGGATACAGAAGGCTCGATTAGCTTTTGCCAACCTGCGTCACTTATGGCGTAGGCGAGATATCCGTTTGCTGACTAAAGGACGAGTGTACTGCGCAGTGGTTCGCTCCGTCTTACTTTATGGCTGTGAAACATGGCCAATGAGAGTAGAAGATACTCGTCGGTTTTTGGTTTTCGATCATAGGTGTCTTCGAAGCATTGCTCGTATACCGTGGGACAACCGAGTGAGCAACGCTGTTATTAGGAAACGGGTACTAGGTAAGAATGGCAGATCAATCGATGAAGTGGTGAAACTTCATCAGTTGAGGTGGTTGGGACATGTGTTGCGTATGCCTAACCAGCGACTCCCTCGTCGAGCTTTGTTTTGTAGTGTAGGAATAGGTTGGAAGAAAGCTAGGGGCGGCCAAACCAAAACATGGCAGAAATCCATGAAGTCATTGACGAGTGGACTTAGCCATGTCGGTAATTGTCGACTACCTGGTTGGGGTCCGCGAGATGATAATAATCGATGACTAGAGACCTTGAATGACATGGCTCAAAATCGTTCGCAATGGCGCCAGTGCATTTATTCTTTGTGTTCTCTCAAAACTTAATCTTCTGAGTTCTTCAACACCTCTAGTTTTTACTTTCTAAACTTATCTCATTGAATCATACTTCGTGAATAATAATTCTAACTTCTCCGATTACTTCTAATACCTTTACTGCCTCTTCTACTATTGGATTTGAATTGACAATTATATCTCTGTGCTGATGTGGTATGGCGACATGAACTGATGTACTTACGTACGAAGTTCTACGTTGCAACTGACTGACTGACTGATTATCAGTTATATCAACTAAAAATATTTATTCACTTATTTATTTATGATACTTCTTATTTAAATATTAAATCCTGGAACCAATTGCATAAAAAATCTGAAGTGACATAATACTAGTGAATTTATAAAGTAATAAATATAAGCTTACTTGTCCAGCTCTATGGCTTAACAAAGATAATTCCTGAGCTAAGAATTGAAACGCACTATCTTCTTGATTTGCACCTACAACAACACCAACAACAAAAAGTTTTATACATATAATTATATGCATAATCTGCAAACTTTTAAGAAGATTTTTAAACATCTGCAATCATTCTAATAATTAATCTGATTAATAATTTAGAGAAATAATTGTGTTTGAACTAATGTTCAATAAAGGGAAGCAATAAATTTATCGAGTTTCAGTAATTAGTTATAAATAATTTGTCTATTTTATTACTAATTAACATTATCGAAAAATATTATGCAAGTGATTTTATGAAAGGGGCTCTGACAGCATCTTTCTCAATGATCTTGCAATAATTTATCTAGACACAACAATGTTGATTCGATAGTGAAATGATACATTGATGTATTTCTCTTTTATCGAATGAAAATATTTATGTAATTCTACCTGAAGTTTTCACTTACTGTTAGTCTGAAGCCCGGATAAAAGAGTGCTGGGCATGTGGTTGACGTCAGCCCATAAAAAAAACTTTTCTAAAAAACGGGATAACTTCAACGTGCTGAGAGCTGCTGGACATGGCTAAATATAAACTTTGGTGAAAATTTATTAATTAAGTTGTGATAAAGTTTTGGAACATATTTATTTGGTCTATAGTAATACTATCTGAGGTCCCAGACAGATGTAAGCAGAACATACAAATCAGTGGTTGACATTTGAGTTTTTTAGTCATTAAGTCACTTCTTTTTGGGAATCGTTAACAACATGATATAGATGATGAGCATTATGAATTAGATTATTATGACTACTAATAATAACACCAGTAATAATGATCTGCGAACAACACATACATTGTTATTTTAGTGATGCAGTAAGGGAATTACTATACATAGTGGTCATTAGTAACTCAACAATGAAATCAGAAAATCACTTCGAACAAGTCAAACAAACTTAGCTAATACATGAAGTACTTGTAAAGTTTCATTTCCATAATATAAAACTATATGTTTAATAATAAGCATCATAAATTACTTTTTGGATCTGCATTCATTCCACTTTTCGAAACAGATAAACAAGACTTGGAGACAGAAGAACGTTGACCATAATCTTCACTACGAAGTTGTGAGTCAACAACCTGTTTTTTCAAGATAAAAGAAAATGATATAAATCAAACTACTCTCATTGAAATTGATGTGGGTGTAAGAAACTAATAAAACTGAAATCACGTATATCAATAAAATCCTACTTGAGCTTAAGAAGATTCCTGACAACTAAGTATGTACTACTGGTAATTATATCGAGTAAGATGGAAATTCTGTGTTTCATTGTGAAATATCTAGTTATTTTAGATCATCATATTATTTATTAAAAACCAAACTTTACTATGAATCAGTAGTAGAAGTAGTAGCAAGCAACCGGCAAATCTGTTCCAATAAACTAGGCTCCCTGTGGACTCAGTGAGTTAAAACTTCGACTGATAAAGCTTGCATTCGTGTTTGATGCTAACATCGATTATCCAGTCATAGATTTAGATCAGTAAAAGTTTTCAAATTGTGTGATTATCAAGACGAATAGCTAAAGTAGAGATAGCAATAGAATCCACTGGTGGCTTTTCCTCCAATATTCTCCTACTCTCGTTAATATTGTATATGAGGAGTGAACATTTGATGAAATTATAACCAAAATAATGAATAAACATTTGAAGTCTGTGAAAATTTTCCAGTACGTATTGAAAAGATCTACTGTAAAAACAACATTAAACACAAGATAAAACCTATGCAACTTGACAATTTAACAGTGAATCATTCGATCAGCAACAAAGTACGATCTGACAAAAATATCGATCAGTCCCGACCGTAGCCGCTACCTTGACGTGGTGGCCTGGATTCATAAACACCTCTAACTTTGTCTTTCTAAACTTATTTCACTCAATTATACTTCATGAATATTATCTTCAAATCCTAATCTTCTCCATTACTAGTAATTCTTCTACTACCTATACTACTACGGGATTTGAATCGACAATTGCATCTCTGTCCTAATGTGGTATGGTAACATGAACTGATGTACTTACGTACGAAGTTCTACGTTGTAACTGACTGACTGACTGAAAATAAGCCCAGAAAAAATCAACCAACTGATAAGTTGTAAGATTAAAATTTTAGTAGTAAACAATGTTATTTACAACGTTACATGTTAATTATAAATGTACAGAAAATGAAATGAATGAAAAAAATTGAGCAACTATGACCTGGCCTCATTAATCTTGCAGTGTGAACGCTGAGTTAACAAATGCACACGAATGAAAATGTTAGTGAGATTCATAAGTTCAGTGCATAACAGTTTTATATTAATTTATCAACCAATGGCTGTATGAAGTAAAGAAGATATTATTTTTATACTGCACAATGACTATACTGATTAATAATACTAGCTTAATTATCATCTTTTGTGTTATCGAATAAATTAATTTACTAGCAACAGCTTATGACATGAATATATTTTTCTAAAAACCAAAGTGTACGTCAAAAATTAGACAATTTTATCTTCACTCAATTAATTATATACTTCGTGCCTTGATTTTTTTAACTTTCTGATAGCTATCAATAATTTCATTATAAAACATGACATTCCATTGAACAATATATATTTAATTGCATAATTAAAAAAAATGAATATATATATTTAACCTTTGCTTTATTTAAACTGCTTGACGAAGCATTACCAAACTTTTTTGTTTTTGGAATGAAATTTGTTGATAATTTATCATCAAGTGACTCTTCTGATTCTTCTTTTATTATTCGTGTTTGTTTATTTGGTTGATTTACTAACGGTTCACAATCATTAGGCAAAGTTGATTTGAAATGAATTGGATAAACTCGAAGTATGTGATCGACTGACCAGGTAAGTAAATGTACATTTTCTGAATATGAATATAAAACAGAATGTAAATTAAGAAGGTTTTGAACAAAGTTACCAATATTATGCAAAATAAATGAATGAATTCAGCTAGCTGGCTTATACCGGATTAATAACTTATTACACATGTTGCATATTAAAAGTGAATGCCATAAAGAAAATCCTTCAGTCAGTTACAACGTAGAACTTCGTACGTACGTACATCAGTTCAAACTGCCATACCACACTAGCACAGAGATGTAATTGTCAATTCAAATCTCACAGTGATAGAGGTAGTGCAAGTATCAGTAGTAATCCGAAAGATCGTGATCCGAAGTTATTATTCAAGGAGTATAAGCCAGTAAAATAGATTTGAGAGGAGGAAGATGAAGGTCATCAAGAATTGAGGATAGAATTTAGAACGTAAAGAATGGACGCACCTGCACCACGGCAAACGATTTTCAGCTATGTAGTTCAAGGTCTATAAAACATAGATTATTAACATCTCGCGGAACTAAACCAGGAAGTCGACACCTACCAACACGGCTCCATCCATTAGTCAGTGACTTCATGGATTTCTGCAATGTTTTGGTCTGGTCGCCCGTGACTTTCTTTCAACCTATTCCTACACCGCAAAATGTAGCTCGACGAAGCAGTCGGTGGTCAGATATACGCAACACATATCTTAACCATCTCAAGTGATGGAGATTCATTACTTCATTAACTGGTTTTCCATCCTTACCTCGTACCCTTTTCCTACCACTAGCATTGTTTACTCGATTGTCCCAGGGCATACGAGCAATGCTTGAGACACTTTTGGTCGAAAACCAGTAACCTACGAATATCCTCTATTCTCACTGGCCATGCTTCACAGCCATAAAGTAGGACGGAGCAAACTGCTGCGCAGCAGACTCGTCTTTTGGTTAGCAGACGAATATCTCGCCTATGGCATAAGTGATGCAAGTTGGCAAAAGCAAGTTGACCCTTCTGTGTCTGTGTCTAGATATCGTCAGACACGAGGCCATCAGTACTGATGACTCCCAAGATAAGTGAAGAGATCAACACGCTAAACTGCCTTACTCCCTATCACTAGTCCAGTTGCAATCAAAAGTTGAACTCCTCAAAAGCAAGACGGTGGAAGTGTCATCTTTGAAAAAGCACGTCGATAACAAAGTTGAATAAGAATGGAGAAAGAGGACGATACTGATGAACATCACTTCACGTTATCAATTCCAATGACAATTCTCCATAAACACTGACTTGACCGGTAGTATTCAAGTAGGGAGCCTATACAAGGTTATTGTTTCTCTTTGGTACACCATACGATGACAGACATTGCCACAGAACCCCATGATCAACCGAGTCAAATGCCGCTCCAAGGTTGAGAAATTCTACTATTTTGGGACGACTGGACAGGTGTTTATGTTCTATGACCTGAAACAGTGTGAATATTAGGCCTACACAGCCACGTCCAGATCGAAATACTCTGTAAATAATCGAAGATACTGTTACGATATAATCAATCCTTTAAATATACCATTTTATTAGAACTAATTACAAAATGTATTAATGAATGCTACTATTGTATTTACATAGAATTATTTAGCATCATAAAAAACAAAACTATTGAATTTTTTCGCGATAGGTTCCTGAAGTTTTAGTATGAAATTTAAAGGAGTGAGAAATTCATTTATGGCAAGAGTAAAACAATGAATTTTCATCAAGCTATATTGTCAACTTTCACGAAATCTGAATACTTTCCGTTTTACTATATATCTTTGTGTATTGATAGGTGAAGAGAGATAATAAAGCACAAACTGAGACGAAACAACTGTTCTTAGATTCAGTGAAATGTAAATAATGATTATAGCATTAAACACAAATACAAACGACATAAAAAGGAAAGAGAATCACGCGGATTAAAATGATTGAAACAAGCCATCGAAAGAAAGTGAGAAAAATAATAATGGCTGAGGTTTAAAAGAATACAAGGGCAAACATTACGAAGATAACAGTAAACAACTAGCAACACTACCAAAAACTACAATTACAATGCAACAGTGCGGTTTATGAGAGAATGATTCTCTACAAGTTGATATAATTTTTTTCACATACAAACGTAACTTTTATTTTCTGAATGCTTTATGATCAGATATTTTTTATACTGTACGTAAAAAATATGTGGTATGCGTTTAGATATACAAACTGGATAACGAAACTACAATTACGATAACAGTAGTAATTAGCAATTGATTAACTCCACAACGATCTATTTAATACAAGTGTATATATGTAAGATAAATCTTGAAAAGGTCATAGATATTCTTACTGTCAATGATAATTAACCAGCTATTCTCTTTACAGTTAACCATACTTTTTAAACTGATTATTAAAATCCATAAAAAAGTTTTTAGAAATGATTATACATTTTTAATTAATGCGACAGCTGAAAAATTTCATAGCGATAAATTAAAATGATGAGAATTAATCGGCCAAATGAACAAAGCATCTAAATTTTTTTTTTTAAAGTGACCAAACTTTTGACAAGTTAAGAAAAAAATAATTTGCAAACTTTTGTTATGTCGATCTCATTAAGTTATTATACGTAAAGTTTCAACTAAACTACTTGTTAGGGAAAGTCACGAACTATTGATTACTAGTGTTAACTTTATTTTGAATAACTGTAACTTACTGCCGCCTTATATCTTTTATTATTTTGGTTGAAAATACGGTTTTATCAAACCTGTAGTAACAATTGTAACGCGAGCATTCAATGAAAACTGTTACAATTCTGAGAGCCAAAAATTTTTCCGGATCAGTTTGTGAATACATGACGATTGTAATCGGCTGATGTATGTATTTTATGTGTTTATCGACGCGCCAACTTTAAGTAGGCAAGAAAGTGAGATGGAATTGTAGTGAAGGAGAACACAGGTGAAGGCAACCGAATTGAATTTAACGAAAATTACAGTTACTCAGTAAAATAGGAAAACCATATCGTAACCGTTAATTTGCAAATCTTCAATCAATCATCAATCCATTGTCTGACATTTTACTATTCATGCGTTTCATACAAATTCCATTGTGTTCCCACTCTTCCTTTCTTGATCTTCCCCCATCTTCTGCTGCCAGACATTACGTTTACACTCGCGTCATATACTACTTATAAGTAGCGCTCACCACCGAATTAGGACCATGATGTGAAGGAATTGTACTGATTGACAAAATGATTACGACTGGGCAAGTACTATTTTATTAGACGGACTTCAGTTGTAAGCATAGTGAGGTATTTGTTGAAAAAGCCAACCATTAAATTCAAATGAATTCGTAATGCTAAATGATAAAATGGTTGAAACATTTAACTTCTAACTAGTAGGACAAAGATTCTGAATGGATCCTCAAAAAAATTGCAATTTTATTAAGGTTTAATAGATATACATAATAAATAAAATGTGACAACCCACAAAATGAATTCACAAAGATGATATATTCTTCATACACCAAAAACACTGTGAACAAATTAAAAACTAATAAACCTAGAGAATTTCAATCTTCTATCTAAAATTAATCTTTTATCATTCTCTTAACTGATTATCATTGTCTTAGAATATTTTCTGATGTAAAGAAGAAGAGAAAAAGAACAAAGTATACACTGATTGTTAAATTGAGTGGAATAATAAATATATTTACTGATATACTTATCATTGACATTGTATTAGGAAACCATAAACCAAAATTTCACCAAGTATAATAAATACAACTAATTTATATTTATAGATTATAGTTAGCAATTAGTGTTTGATTAAGAAATTATATACAGTGTATTTATAATTGAAGTTATAATAAAATTATGGAGAAGAAAAACAGATTCATTATATTCATCGTTTGAATAGTAAAGAAAACAGTAACAACAAAGAATATGATAAAAAAAGAAAACAATTTATTTATTCATTCAGTAACCTACTTTTAGGACAACATTCTAAACTTTGATTTGTTGTTGATGTTTCATCATCTGGCATTAAATTTGTCATTAATTCATGATCATCTGTCAATGTCAATGAGGAGAATAGAGGATTTGAACACATTAACCAACTCATATCTAATATATATGAATCTGTAAAACATGGTTGACAAATCTGTTGATCATTCATGTGATTAATATTACTATCATTATTATTGTTACTATGATTATTATTATTTGAATTAGCTACACTATTAGTGGATGTTGTTTTATTCATAGTAATTTCATTACTAATCGTGTTACTATTATCATCGTTTTTTACTGTTTGAAATAAATCATGAGATTGTGTGAAATTAGAACTAGACCACACAGATATCCCATGAACTGACCAATGAGACTGTTCCGGTAAAATAATGATATGATCGCCTGAAGGCTGGAAAAAAATATATACATAAAATATGTCAATAATATTAATTAGCATAACATAAATAAAATACGAAAAGGTATGAATGGAAACATGATAAGAAAAAGTTAATTAGTGAAGAAATTAGGAAAAATTCGTAGAATTTACGCAAAAAACAGATATTATTTATACTGTGCAAAACAAGAACGGTTTATTGTGAAAATGTGATTTACAACTTTGCAGCTGGGTAAGGTTATCATACTCAAACAATCAGTCAATCAACAGCAACGTAGAACTTTATACGTACGTATGTACATCAGTTCAGGTCGCCACATCACAGTAGCACAGAGATGTAGTTGTCAATTCAAATCACATAGTAGTAGAGGTAATAGAAGTATGAACAGTAATTGGAAAGATTAGGATTTGAAGATATTATTCAGGAAGTAGAATCCAGTAAAAAGGATAAAATGATGAAGAATTCAGAAGGTTAGGATTTGAGAGAACACGAAGAATGAAAGCACCTGTGCCAGTGCAACTGATTTTCAGCCATGTCATTTAGGGTCTCTAACCATCGATTACTAACATATCGCGGACCCCCACCAGGTAATCCATACCTGACGAAATGACTCAGTTCACTTGTCAGTGACTTCATGGATTTCTGCCATGTTTTGCTCTGGTCGCTCCTAGCCAGACCATAGCTGAGTATGATAACACAAAAAGTGTTATCATAAACAAGTAGTGTAGTCATTTTTACTGATATCAAGGAACAGGAAACAATTACTCACGTAATCGCAAATCTGTGAAAAGCTTTGATTTTGACCGTAACAAATAGTGGACTTGTCTAAAATTAATATTCATTCTTAAACTTTCCTATCAATAAGAACTAGGGAGCACTGGACAGATTTTTCGTTCAAGTATGGATTTAGATTACTAAGCGTGCAATGTCATTAGATTTCGCATAACAGACGTTCACAATCCACTACATGAAACTACAAACAACTGAGATAATAACAAATTGAGTAATTCGTAAATTATGATGAGAGTGAGTAAATTAGTAAAAATGCAATTCATATGAAAATGTGTAACATATACAAGTGAAAATTACTGCACAGCTTACAGTGTAAATTACTTTCCTCAGTTTAATTTCCTGCAATCGAACCTTTTTCAATGGATATGAAGGATTTTCAATATCCCACAAACGCATTTCAGAATATTCATTGATTGTTACCATTTGATTGACATTCTGAGGAGACCAATCGAAATCACGTACATGATCAGCTTGTACAGAGATATATTGTTCTGGAACATTAGACTGAGTTCAAATAACAGTGGTTACAAATAGTTAGTAAATCACTTAAATAATAAATTACTGTATACATCATAGTGAATGCATGAGATTTAATCTAGTGCATAGATGTTCAGGGTTACGATGTCAAAATGGGGGCTCATATAACGCTGTACATATTCAAGCGTTCACGCTCCACAATAGTACGAAAGGAGTAAAATCCAGTGAACAGAGCATGATAATAAAAATAACAGGAAGAACGAAACCCTGAGGATGGAATACTCATAACTCAGAAAATAAAAAGTAATTGTAATTGCACCACTTGGTCTACCTTAACTTAATGAACCTCAAAGCCTCCAACCTATGTTTTTCATATAGTTCTTGTCATCCTGAGAATCTTAGCAGAGAAATCTATACCTCATTACACTACTCCATTTACAAATTAGCGCTTTAAAGGATAGATGATGATTTAGACTAATCTAACTCATGTTTGTTAGAGTAGATAGTAACTTGATGGCAGCCTGACTAAATATCTAGACTACCTGTTTCGTAACATCAAGATATTTCAACAAGTTACATCTTTTTATTTATTTTAACACGTTAATTATGTCGAATAACCGCATAACCTATTCAGGCACGCAGATATAAGGTTTACGAGCTATCGCTTCACAAGGTTTGATAAAAGACAATCCGAGACATATAGTGGCTAACAATCTGCTCAGAGAAGAATGAATGTTAATAAGATGTCAATTCCTGGACTAATTACCTCCAACTGCTGAGAATTCTATGTTGAACTAAACATGTAATATTAAATAAAGTCATTATTATTATTATTATTATTATTATTATTATTATTATTATTATTATTATTATTGTGTAACAGATAATCTAGCCAACTTAACTTGTAGAGACTAACAACCTCACTGGTTGGATCGATCATCGTTTCTAGAACTCAGCAAAATACTTCAATATCGTCTACTTGATAGGTCTTCTGCATACGAGAAATTATGAAGAGATACTCACGATATATTAGACAACAGAAATGAAAACAACATGGTAAAACCCATAAAGTAAGACTTGAATAAAACATTTTAGATTATACTTACCCGCAGATCCCAAGTTCTAACACCCGATGAGTGACAAGTCGCAAATTTCCCACTCAAAAACCTATTCCATTTGACAATAACCGGTGAAGCTAAAAACAGGAAATTAGGACAATGATTATAACCATATTGTTAACACTATACACCAAATGATGTCAAACTTTATTTGAAAACATTCTGTGGAAAGACAGAACGATCATTCTACTTATGGACTTCTTATCAACGTGCGTACACAACCAAATACAGAATTAGAATCAGGAGCTTGATGTCTTGTGTTGAACACGATAAATATAGACTAATGGTTTAAATACCAGTGATCTACACTAACGACTTTATTGAATCCATAATAGGGAACTATACGTTTGTCAGTTTTAGGAATAACAATTAAGTTGATGATAAATAAAACTAAAAGAAATTATGCAGATTACACGAACACCTACTTTTTCAGAGTAGTCATTATGCTTACATAATGTTGAGTTGATGATTTGATAAATAATATTCACAGAGCTTGTCTCTAACTTTTTGATGTTTTAGTAATAAGGATGTTTGGAGATGACAGTTTATCGGTTGACTCCTTCATATTCTTAAGAAGTATAATTGATCGAGTTGTCATTACTAATTAACCCTACTCTCATTGCTTAAAAGACAATATATTACATCTTCCAAAATAATCCGAATACGTAAGTGGTAAGTCTGCTAAACGAACAGCCGATGAAAATAAGAATATGAATTTTCAAAAAAAGTGAAAGCTATACAATATTTATAAGTCTTGTTAACTTAATATTTCACAAAATAAAAGGTTAATTTTATTAAAAATTTCTCATGATGAAAATAAAGGACCTCAAATTACAACATATCTAGTGGACATCAACTACATTAAAGATATGAAAATTTAATAACAACTGAAATCCAAAATCCAAATTAGATTAACTAGTCAAGCAAATAAAGAAATTATATAATAAGTCAGTTATTTGTAGAGGTTTTATATGCATATAAATGTGTGTATAATCAACGTTGACCCTAACACAAATATACGGTAGTTCAAGTTGCCAAACCACAGTAACACAAAACCAAATAAACAAGATAGAGAACAAAGAAATAGTAGTAATCTGATAGGAATAATAGTAGGAAACAATGAACATTGAGAATATGATACGAATTCATAGAATGAAAAGATACCTATGAAGGTGTACTGAGACTCAAGATTAGGAGTGATATAAAGAGTGAATGCGATTGAGCCTATGTGACCAATCCTGATTTATGTCATCCAAAATCCCCAACTACTTGTCGCAATTACCGCACTGACTCAAACCAGGTGATCTGTATCTGCCAACATGGATAAGAACAATGGCCATTTTCACTGCGCATTGATATCCGATGAAGCATTAATTAAAATCAACTGATTCATCCTAGACAGGGACACCTTAGACATTTACATCTACGAAGATGAAAATTTAGAATATTAGATTTGGTCTCGTTACAATTGAATCCAGCAAAATCAACACAAAAAACTCAAAGGCATAAGGTGTGAATTAGTGAGTGATCCTGAGTCAATTTATACTGTAAATGATGTACAAATACAAATTTTCAAAATATATTAACGAAACTATGAAGCTTGCATATTTTTGCATTAGAAAATCCTATATTTGTGCTTGAAAGGAAAAGATTTCGAAAAACAGGTATTATCATTGTTATTACTATTATTTATAATTATAGGGAGCGCCAAGCAAATATAATTAAGAAAATGTAGAGAAACATCAAAATAGGTTAAACCCAGTACGCTGAAGCTTATGAATACAAATCATTTCTGCTTTTCAAAATCTTCTGATTTTTTGACAATGTCTTAAGTTATCAACTAGTACTGTCATTACTAATATTCGTGTGAAATTCTCGAACTAATCATGCATGTATAAATAATGGTTTTAGTGATTAAATTATAACCTCAGCATGCGTATTGGTTTGACTCATTAAGTATATAGTGCATTTTAAAATTCATCCTTTTATATGGTATGTTATCATGTACTTCATTGTAAATAACTTCAAGAGGCAACTACAGTTGTTCTGGATAGAAGCCGTATTCAGATGGGTTCGCACATGATATGCATCAGACAAATATCAGTAATAACAGTATATAGTGGTACTTTAATATCTCGAATGGACCGGATTTGGACATTTATATCACTAAATCGTAACTCGCATGCCTGAAAGTTAAGTGACCAACACAAGGTCTAAAGGTTCTGGGTTCGATCACTGGTGCGGTCGTGAATGGGCGCTACTGAATAGTTCCAAACCCGGATGAGCTAGTAATGTGAAATTTTAAACTGAACAATCTTCAGAACATTATAGTATTGTTATTCGGTGTTTTTTATGCGTGGTAGGTATATGATGAAAACATATACTTGTTAGGTAATATAATACCGAGTACTAATCATATGAGATAATCAATCGATCAATAGCAACGTAGAACTTCGTACGTACGTATGTACATCAGTTCTGGTTGCCATATCACAGTAGCACAGAGATGTAGTTGTCAATTCGAATCCCACAGTAGTAGAGGTAATAGAAGTATGAACAGTAATTGGAAAGATTAGGATTTGAAGATATTATTCAGGAAGTAGAATCTAGTGAAAAGGATAAAATGATGAAGAATTCAGAAGGTTAAGATTTAAGAGAACACGAAGAATGAATGCACCTGTGCCATTGCTACTGATTTTCAACCATGTCATTAAGGGTCTCTAACCATCGATTACTGTCTTCTTGCGGACCCCAACCAGGTAATCCACACCTACCGAAATGACTCAGTCCACTTGTCAGTGACTTCATGGATGTTTGTCATGTTTTGGTTTGGTCGCCACTAGCTTTCGTCCAACCTATTCCTACACCGCAAAATATAGCTCGACGAGGCAGTAGGTGGTTAGGCATACGCAACACATGTCCCAACCACCTCAACTGATGACGTTTCAATACTTCACCTATAAACCTGCCATCATATGGGACAGTAAACTTTGAATCTATTTACGTTCAGAAGTTTTGTTAAACAACTATATAAGATTAAATTAGACATTAAAGATGAATGATGAGATTGAGTTGAGAAAAAGAAAGGCAATGTCTTCAAAATCGAAAAAATAATAATACATATGAACAATCCGAAACCGGAATATAATTTATGCATATAGATGATTCATTTACTTCGTTTTCAATAAAGAAAATTCAAACAGATTTTATTGCTGAACCAGACAGTAGGAGAAAAGAATATTGTAGACAGGCAGATAGGCAGAAGGATATGTTGATAAAAAAAAATAGGTTGGGAATAATGATAAGCAGACAACAAAAAGAAATAAAATAAAGAGAATTTTCGAAGGAGAACAAGAAAGGCAAAGACTAATGTAATAATTTGCTTACTTGATATAAAAGTTTCATTTTTCACTTTATTATCGTGTTTTAAACAGAAATATTATTATTCTGTCTAATAATAATAATAATTCATAGATTTTATTTCGTTTCAATGATTGTGTCTGTTTATTTCTTCATTATTATGAATAATAATATTTGGAATAAGTTCTAGTAAATTATAATAGACCAAAAAGTAGCATATATTTATATATATGTTCAGAAGAGATAAAAGTAAACATATTTTTTTTTTATCTGATGTTATTGAATGAAAGTAATAACAACAAAAACAATAACATTACTTAAAGAGAAGAGTACAATAATGAATCAAAGTAGAATGAATAGAGAAATTATTAGAAAAAAAAACAAATACATTGTTTTCTTTCATAATATTTATAGTAGTTTTACTACATATTGCTAAATAATAAATAGGTAGTTTGAAAGTTAAACAAATGGAATTTCAGTTTGGATTGTTAAACTTTTTAGTATTAAACATGGATGAATCTTTTTACTGAAAATAAATGAGAATTTATTGGTGTATGAGATATGTACTGGTTAACTAAATGCTTTGGATCACTGCCTAGAATAATTTAACACGGTTATTTCCAACTTAATCAACTGATTACATGCTATAAAATTCTTTTGAATAAAGGAAGGAAGAATAACTAGTAATTAATTGACAAAATTTATTAAATAATGAACACATTTTTAGCGAGACTGATTACTGGTATCTAAAATCTATTTTAATTCCTAGAAAACTCAATAAAGGGTTAGTGATAAACTTACAAAGGGATTCCATAGCTCGAACTGGTCGTGACATATCACGTAAATCCCAAACACAAATAGCACGAAACTGGTCTGCAGATGTAGTGGCCAAAAGAAATGGATGGACTGTACTCCAGTCCAATGAGTTGATCACACGGACATATCCACCCAGACTGGTGTTGATACTTAATCGACATTCGTTGGCATCCCAGCAAAGCAGTTCACATTTATTAGAACGCTAAGAAAATATTTAGAAATCAAAAACACCAACAAGTTTAGCAATATAAAAGGCACCTCAAGTGAACAGCCATGAATTCACATAATCATGCCCGAATGAAAATGCTCAAATATAAACATTACAACAGTTGACTTATGAAGTGATTTGATAGTATCGCAGTTATCAATGTTTATTACGCAGCGTGCAGAGAACAACTATGTAAGGTATTGTATTTTTTTTCACAAATAAACGAGAAAAACAAAATATATACATTTGGAATTTCTCTAAAAAGATGTTACATTAATGTAAAATGGTGTAAATGTTAGTGCATACACCATTAATAAGTTATCTAATCGTGGGCATTTTACGACGTGGGACGAATAAGTAATGATGCACGTTGCAAGTCCACGTATAAGAATAGACAGATTACAACTTAATAAGATGAGAAGCATAGTAAAGGAATCAATATCAAACGACGTTAAAAACTAGGGATGAAGAATACAAAATGACTGAGTGAGATTGAAGAAAGGAAAGTATAGAATAGGAAGGTAAAAAATGAATGCAACTACAAAACTGCTACAACGTTTGAACCATGTTAACCAATATATCCAAACAAAAAATTACCTTGATTTTACGTAGGTCAAGCAGGAAATCTTCAAGTCGAATGAACGACACATATTTTACATTGCCGAATATTCAAAGTGATATAACATAATAAATAAAACACACATTTCATTAAAAGAACTGGAATAAAAAAATAAACAGCTATAACTCACTGCAATTGCAAGTTTTGTATGATCGGTTGGATGCCAAGCAAGTCCAGAGCATCCTAATTTTGAAGGCAAAGAAAATGCACTATACTGTGACGGATGTTTCAGCGGAGATATTACAAGTCCATCATTTCTAGACAATAAATAAGGACAAAAACAACAAGCAATATTTATACGATAAAATTTGGATAGTGTAATGAGGGGAGTAAGATTATAAGAACCATGAGATATATCAGCTTAATACATTTCAAACAATCTGATCACAGATAGACTTGTTAAAAACATTTATAAATGAGAAATAATGTATTGCGCTAATACATCACATAGTTTTGAAAATCTTTCTCTTCTTATTATGCTTTCCAAAATTAGCTGCTTCCTTGACGTAGTGGTCGGGCTTGCCTATCGTGATGACCCAACCGAGCTATATAGGCTGGAATATATGTTTCTTCAGGTTCTACCATGAGAGGCAGGTCAACTGGAAAACAGTAAGAGCAAAAGCAGCAACTCAAGGTTTAAGGGTGAAGTCGTACTGCTGAATGTAGAAGGGTGTGATAGCAGTAAAGTGTTTACCTCGGACAACCAGCATCTGCAGCATTGCTGCCTTCTTACATGGAAGGAAGGATTTAGAAGCGAGAAAACAAAATTGTTTTCAGGCCTGGACGTGGATAGACTTATTACTAAAATGCCTAAAAAATCTAGTTAACGAACAAGAAGTTGACTTGAGAAAAAGATGATAGCACCATTACATGATACAACTCATCATGATGAAATGTAGTATTCATAGCTGGATTTATTTATAATGGAAGAATACAAATAAATGTTTTGAAGTGGCAACATCTACTGGATTATGAGCTTTTCATTATTAGGCAGAAGAACTTGATATCCATGATATCAAATGTAAGCCGGAAATCATCTAGTAAAACTTGGCATATTCTTGCGTATATATATATATATATATATATATATATATATATATATATATATATATATATAACCCACCCACATAATGCAACACAACGTCCTATTGGATCGGCGGCAATTTGTGAGATCTACAAGGATAATAATAGTAATAATGGTAATAGTAATAATGACAGTAATAATAATAACATACTAGATTAACTAATTAATGTTAAAGCATTTAACCAAAGACTAGCGTTCTATTTATGCATAGGGCAGTTTTGATGTCAATTTTCGAGCATAAATACGTTAATATCATTACAAAAAACGGGAAAATATTATGAAACAGAGTAATACTAGTCAAAAAGGAAGTAATCTTATACGAAAGATACAAAATAAGTCATTTTTGGTCATCTTTTTATACGAGCAATCCAGTTAGTTTTGGTTTCCAAAGTAGGTAGTGGCCGATTATGCTTCAATTCTTACGATTTACGATGTGATCAAATAACCTTTTGTCGTACATAAAATTCTCCACCAAATGTGAGTATATACATCGAAACTATAACTTATCAAATTACTTATGAACTAGTTAGACTAATTCTAGATTAGTAATAAACAATGGAGTTAACAGCATACCATTTCAAAAACAATAATACACGACGTACCTGAAACCCTTTTAATTCCAATAAATTTGTATTATTAGTCTACAAATCAAGGGAAACGTGTAGATATGTATGAGGTATATTACAAATTATAAATCGAAAACCCAATAAAATAGATTATTGAAACAACAATAAATATATAGATTAGATATCTTTTTATTAAATGTGTGAACCTAAGCAATCACACTGACTACTATGTATAGAATCTGATAATAGTAAGGGAGATTGAAGTTCACATCAATAAAACTGCTAGTATGAATCGAGTTAAATCCAGTAAAACTGACGATTTAGTCATTTGTAGAATAATCTTCAATGTAACATACATCGCTAAAATTTTGAAAACTCTTAACATCTAATAATATTAGGTAGTTTGTACACACAAAGACAAATAATAAGACGTTTTAGCAGTATACGTATTTGATTTTCATATGATAGACTAATAAACTCGAATTTAATATACTAAGTTTTGCTCTACAACAGTCCAATGGGCTTTTAGACAGAAATCGTGACATTTACACTGTTTCGCAGCTATTTTTGATGCGTGCTAACTACTTTCTATTAGTCTGTCATACATTCAATCATCTAGTTCATAAAACCCCATTTATTGACGCTGCATAAGTATTAGTCTCGTTATTCGACTCTTGCACCAAGTATGGTTTATATAATCGCTACTAAGCCACTATTTACGTGTATGAAAGCCTATGATAGGAAACGACTCAACAATGGAGTGGGATTAAAACCCAGAAACTAGTGATTATAAAGTAACAAGTTGATTATTTAAAAAGCCGAAATCACAGAAACATACTTGCATAGTTGATTCCGAAACCATGATGAACATTAAAGTGGCAAGAAAACTTAGAAGTTATTTATGAATCGATACACCTCACCCTACATTTATCTTAATATAAATAAGATGATGATATATTACAAGCTGAGATATACTGATATAAATGTAGTTCTATGAAGCACCACTATCAAGAAAAGCTACCATTTTCTCAACTTATAACAAGTACACTCAACTCTCGATTATTCTTCTGTGTAACGCATTTAAGATGTTGTCCTCAGGTTAACAGAGTAATGAAGATAAAGAAAAATGATTAACTATCGATGTATGGACCGAAAAGAATCAAATATTCACATTATTAACAAGGGTGAGAATTGAATATTTGAGTTCCTTATTCACATAGTTAAGGATATTTTTAATTAACCTTCCATCATAAAAGAGTAAATAAAACTTGATACAACACAGTTTGGCCAATAAAAATATCACAGTTGTGACATTCAATTAGGGTAAATGATATCAACTTTGGTGAAATTGATTTAAATCATTTACGAAACGGTCGACAGTAAAAAAAGTGGACCACTACAGCAATTTCATATTCATACGATATACAATCTAAAATATGGGACTGTTATGCTTAACAGTACGAGAACCCGTCAAATAATATTTAATTAGATCCAACCTATACCTACTTTGTCACGCACGATCCAATGTATGTATGATAATCGAAAGTCAAGTAAATTGTAAGCAACAAAAGACACCAGTTTTAGAACTTAAATAAAAAATCAGACACGCATCTACAGGTCAACAATCAGAGCATCAACAAGAATGTAAATAAGACGTAGAACAATACAATACGAGGTGTACTGAGACAACTTGGTAATAACATCATAACTATACATTTGTGTATAAAAACTTTACAAATATATATATATATATATATATATATATATATATATACATATATATATATATACATATATATATATATAAAATTAAAAGAAAACAATTAACAATAGTGGAAGAACAAAGAAAATTATTAGTTGAGATCAATCAAACAACATAAAATAGTTTTTCATTATATTAAAAACAACAAACTATGATAAACAGAATCAAATGTGTTTTGAAGAATAATAACAATAATGATAATCATTGTAATGATAATCGTAATAAAAAAAAAATGGAAAAAACCTGGTGGAATGAAATTAACAAAGAATTTTTTTAACAATCTAATTGGTAACTAAACAATAAATATTCTCATTGGCGACCATAGATGTGTGCACAGCACATCATCGTTGAATATGACACGTGAACAAAAAATAAAGAGGAAAATTAAAAATAAATAAACAAATACAATAACACCTACGTTAATACTCGCATACTGATTTGTTAAAAATTTCCGTAACAATATATACATGTGCAGTTACAACAGGGTAGATATTAAATAAATAAAATGTGTAATTGTTACAGTACGTGTATAAAGTATTAAAGGCACCAAAGATTAACTTCCTGCATTGATCAATATACCTTGTTTTGATGCATACAACAAGATATGACAAGTTTGCATCAAATGCATTACATAAACAGAGAACATAAGACGACCTCATTTGTTGCATAATTTTAATATAACATTTTGAATTAAGTAAAATTTCTCGATGACAAATTGATTAGTTCTTTTCTAAAAAAAACGCCAATTAAGGAAGAAACACCAAAATAGACGACTTTATACAATTAGAGTAAAAACTATCATCACATGGAAATAATTTCTATAAAAAAAAAGCACACAAAACAAACGAGAAATTAATTAGTTGGACACTTCTAAGGCAGTAGCTCCACTGCTATCTGTCATTGCACTTGTATTTTTAGATTCCGTTGATAATCGTGGATGTTTTTCAGATATTGATACAGAGCAACTGCAATCTTTACAATCTGGTGATGAATGTATTTTTGGTTCATCATCAGGAAAAGTATAATAATTAGTGGAGATGTCACAATTCATATTACTAGAGAAAACACTCTTATTATTGATAAATTTTTCGTCTGCATTTGTAGATTCTGGATACTCTTGTCCATTTTGCAGCCGTTGTTTGCAGTTAGACTTTGGTAATTCTTCTAAGCGTTGACGTTTTTGTGGTTTTAAATCTGTGCTCAACTGACTAGATAACTTTTTGAATCGTTTTGAGGAATTTTTTGGACTCGTCACATTAGCAGTATACTTGTCACAGCTACTGCGTAAGGAACGGTAATTAGTAGGAGATATTAGAGAATTTGATTCTTTCGATATTCTTCCTTTTGACTGACAACCACGTGGAAGAGAGGACAAACCTATGCAATTGCTGCGACTAGAACCAGTGGTTAATTTCTTTCGCTTTAAAGGTGACATGGAGGGAGCACAATGTAATCTTCTTTCTCGATGACTTCGACGACTGTGAGATGAACAAGATGGGTTCAAAGAAACGGTTCTTAAAACGGATCGCTTGGATTGTTTGGTTTCACGACAACAGTATCTCGACTCTGTAGACGAGCTAGCTTTAGGAATATTCTCTTCTTCTTCACATTCATCATCGCCATCATGGGCAGCTTGCTCAGCCTCAAGGGCAGCTTGTTCTTTTTTGACATCAGACAGGCAAGGACCAATCGAATTAGGAGGCGAGCTTGCTCTGCTTAAAGTGTTGCCTCCTGCTGAACTGGATGCAGGTGAGTACGATCTACAAGGGCGCATAGGCTCGTCAATCGGTGATGGACCAGACCTTGTCAGACCAAAACTAGGCTTTGATGGATACTCAGAAATTTTAGGAGGCTTAATATCAGTCGGATCGTTAAACTCATACTCCGAAAGATGGTGTGGGCGTGAATTGATATGAACATTAGTCAGTGAGTCCGTTGATGATATGTCATCAGCTAAAGCACTCGGGTTAGGTCCAAATCCCTGAAAAATAAAACAGAAACCCTTAAATATATAACATCAATATTTAATTACAACTGTCAAGAAGTTTCAAGGGTGTGAGTCGCGCTTAACAGTCGGAAATATAACGGTTCATACATATCCCTGTAGCTCCATAACAGGGATAAAACAAATCTATGAACGGATGGAAACTTGTTGTGGCGACAAGTAGTACAATATTTCAAGACGCATAAAATTAACTGAGTACCCGACTACCAAAATCATTATCTCACCCGAAAACGTATTACTGACTCATGATGTTTCGGACAGTTATTATTGCTGATAAGCAAAAGACTAGACATATTGAATCTTCCACCAAACAATGAAAAAAGACAGCGGTGATTTTCCGGATAGGTGTAAAAACATAGAGTATACCAAAACGGTTTCACTTTGAGCTATCACACTTTACAAGAGCATACAAGGAAAAAAATTCATGTGCCAAAATAAATAATAGTATGAGTCTATGGTAGACAATTGTTGTGAAATGAGATATTCAGAATATGGGAAAAAATGATAGAATTGATAGAATGAAAGCTACCAATCACTCAAATAGTAAATAATAATGCTAACTACAATAAAAAAGACGCATCATCAACTACAAATATACTGTTGAGGATTCTATGAGAATTTAGCGATCGTTCTAATTAAAAGACACCAATATAAGTATTCTGATTTCTTTTTATGTACCCTGATATGGTCCATAATGAAGAGTCCGTTCTTCTCGAAAAACTTTTACTTAGCTGCGAGTCAAAAGCATCTTTCAGGGTAGTGTTACTCACTACAATCACAAGATAGATGTGTCACTACCAAAGAGAGGGGCTAAAAGTGGATGGTAGTTGTTTTAACTGAGCTTTAGGACAATCAGGATCCACCTAGAAAACCCTGATTGTAAACTGATAGTGCCCATGATCTTCAGGATTCTGAAGTGAAAAATGGTGTGGACCTACCTTAGTCATTGGCTAAGGATGACTGCACTATATGCTGCTATCCAACTGTTTTATGGGTCAACTTCTAAACGAAAAGTTCATTAGTTTGATCAGTATGAAGACTACCTGCATCAGTTTAGGTTTCTGTGAAATACCTCGGCCCTACACCATTAGTGGTGACAACTGCTAATTAGGAAAACGAAGATTACGAATTTCTCACTTCAGATGTACATTCCGAAGAATTAGTAAAAACTGAATTTCATAATTTAGTTTACAACATCTTAACTCTGTTGCATTTGGTATTCACGTCGTTTATACCTATGCAAACACTAATTTTAGTTTTTTGTCACGAGTCCTGTTCTATAGATTTTCTGAGAGCTGCCACGAAATGTGATGTTTGGTGTTCCTCAAAGACCACTATTTAAGACTCTAATAGACATTGAGAATTCGTCTATCATTGACTCCAAGGGTATGTCCTATGTAAGCTTATTCGAGTACTGAGTGTCAACGGGATGCGACGTCACACTCGGCTTCAGTCAAGAGAAGACCTTGATTGAATGAGTTCGCATTAGCAGCAACTTATGAGCTGTAAGATTAGCAGATTTCATTAAAGCTTACAACAAATGATGTCAAAAACGGTGCTATTTTGTAATCTACACTCACGTTCCGATAGACTGGAGCCCAGATGCAATAAAGTATGGATTATATTACCTAGCACATGACCTTAAAAATGTGCCAAGGGAAATTTTAGTGCTAGCTTAAGAATTAAATGCAAATAACAAATACAAATAACAGGTGCTTCAGTAGATAACCAGGACTCACTGGTCGTAAATCGAATAATGGAGATCATCTAACCCAGACCATGGATTTGTGCCATGTTTTGGTTTGGCCGCCCCTAGCTTTCTTTCAACCTACTACTACACTACAAAACATCACTCGCCGGGCAGATGGCGAGTGTTTCACAGTCATAAAGTAGGACGGAGCAGTACACTTGTCCTTTGATTAGCAAACGGATATCTCGCCCACACCATAAGTGACGCAAGTTGGCAAAAGCAAATCGACCCTCACATATCCGTGCAGAGATTTCGTCACACACCAGGCCGTCAGCACTGATGAGACTCCCGAGATAAGTGAAGCGGTCGACATGTGATACCACCTTTACTCCCTATCACTAGTTCAGGTGCCGATGCAACCCAATCCTGAAGCAACATTTTGCATTTTGAGGAGGAAAACCGCATTCCGAACATGCTTGCATTGTTGCTTAGGGTAGTCAAAAGATTACATTTTGTCAGAGTCTTGACCAAATAAAACTATGTCATCGGCATATTCTCAGTCTACAAGTCAGTCGAAGATAATGTTAACTTTAAAAGCATGTCTATGCCGAAGTTAAACAAGAATGGATAAAGTGGACAACCCTGACGGACATCACTCGAAGTAGTCAATTCCGATGACAGTTCGCTATAAGCTCTCACTCGACCAGTAGTGTTCGAGTAGAGGGCTTGTATAGGGTTAACGTACTTCTTTGGTACACCTTTTAATGACAGACTCTACCACAGAACCTCACGATCGACAGGGTCAAATTCCCCTTTAAGGTCGAGGACTACTACTATTGTGGGACGACTGAACGTGTGTCTATGTTCTAGGACCTAACGTAGTGTGAATATCTGGTCTATACATCCACATCCAGGTCCGAAACTAACCTCGTTTTCTCTAGTCTGCTCTTCACGAGCACTAATTAGGCGTCCAAGTATTATCGAGGCTAACAATTTAGACACTATTAGTTAGACTGATTCTTCTGTGATTGTAACAAGAGGACTTTTGTCCTGTCTTATAGACTGGGACGATCAGTGTTTGAGACCAATTAGGAAAGATTATGCCTAGTTCCCGCATTCTGCCTAAGATCTCAGTCAGTCTAACTGTTAAAACTGGACCACCATCCTTGAAAATCTCGGGGGTAAGCTTGTCAGGCCCTACTACTCCTCGTCGTTTTGGATTTCTATGGCTTTTTTAATGGCATGTGATTTATTTTTTGAAAATTAGGGAAGCAGTTCGAGCAAATGCTTAGATTTATCTATTAAAGACGCAGAGGACTTATATCGATTTGCCATCTAGGATGACTGAAGATGGTGGGCAACTGAATTGTGGCTGAAAGTCAGTTGAACTGATCCCTGAAGTGTTATGCCCATCGATCCAGTCGCCTGGTTTGAGAATGAATGATACGATTGAACTGGTCAACATTTGGGTTTCCTTCGTTGCTCATTACATTCAGAGCCGATCAAGATGAATTCACGCGTTTCCGCTAAATCGAGTTTTGTTCTTCCTTTACTTCCCGTTTAGGTTGCTAACAAAGGTAATTGCTGTACTTAAAAGAGGTTATAAATCAAATCAGATTTCCTCAGAACAAACATCCCTCTTATGATTGACCAGACAAATCCATAATTTTTCCGCAAATATACTAATGCCAGTCTTATCCTCCAGATGATCTCATAAGTATCAGGTTACAATTTCATTGCATCCATTTGACATATGTTGGCATCAGAGTATAGTTGTTCAGATACTGGCTACGGGTGGGGAAGAAACCTTCTGCAAAACCTTTTGAATGATAGCTAACAAAAATGTAATCTTTCTTCTTCCCACCAGTCACACAAGATTTTTAAATTTTAGTTAATGAAGCCCGCTCTTAAATCCAAGAACGAACATTGGTTTGAACACAGCTTGAAATTTAGTTTCCAAACACCATGGGTGACAGATTCTTTAAAAGTCTAAAACATCACCAGTAATTGTGTGTGCGAAACACTAAACACCAGTAGGGTTGACAACAGGAGCAGAAGAAACATTAAAAACGACCAATAGATTTGATTATAGATAAAACAAACCAGATTGCTGTTAATAGTGGATGTGATGGAGACTTTTGGGCTATCTACACTATGAAGGCATTTTTCTTGAGGGAACCTTCTTACGATTACAAGATGCAATGACGTGAACTAATTACGCAACAAAATTTTAGATTTATGGTGTTCAAACAAAACTGTTATGAGTAAACTAGATCGATGAAACGTACTGCATTTATGACATTTATCTCTGAAAATTCAGATGAAGGACTAAATGAAATATGAATGTGAAAAATCGACAGTTCTGGAGGATATCACTTAGATTCGTCTGTTCAGTTGACGATTTGGTGTTAGTCACCAGTCAACAACAACATAGAACTTCGTACGTATGTACATCAGTTCAAGTTGCCATACAACATCAACACAGAGATGCGACTGTCACTTCAAATCCCATAGTAGTCGAGGTAGCGCAAGTATTAGCAGTAATCAAAGAGGTTAGGGATCGAAGATATGATTTGAGAATTGTATCCAGTGAAATAAACTTAAAACGAGAAAAATAAAGGTGATGGGGAATTCAGATGACAATTTGATAGAACACAAGGATGTACCTGAGCCATTCCAAATGGTTTTGAGCAATGTCATTCAGGACTGCATTAATCATAGAACAGAAAACGCTTGGTACAAAGAAATAAGCCACAATGATTACAGGACTCCAAAACTTAAGAATCATACTAACCAATTTAATGTTGCAGTAATTATTTCTATTTCTATTTCCATTTTATAAAAAAAGTACAAGTAATCATTTAAATCGGTGAGAATAAATTAGCCAAACTAGAAATTCGAACTAATAACTTTCAAAACAAGAAATAAACTAATCAGTCAGTCACAATGTAGATATAGACTGGCAGGAATTTACGTCAACCAAAATTATTACACAGCATTAACACGACAAGATGAGATCGACGAGAAGAATAGCGAAGTTAGAAGAATGTCGTATCAATTACAACAGTGAAGACTTAACATCGATAATCTGGTTGGACCCGTTATAGCCTGGATAAAACTAAGTGGTTACCAGGCGATCATTAAATTTATTGGGCTAAAATGTCAAAAGATGCACGAGAATGAATTTTACTTGATTCATTAGACATGCTGTCTAATAATGATACTGAAGGCATTGAAATGTACCTTAAAGTATGGCTACAAAAGATTATAATCTCGAATTACTAGTAATATCTACATATTTACAAATCGAGGCTTGAAAAAGACATTGATAATGGGAATGAAAATAGTAGGGGGAAATGGACTGCAGACAAAAAGTACGGAATCAAGTATGTAGGAGGTAGGGTGACAACTAACGCTTCGTAGCTTCCAGTCCCATAGAGAGATGGATTTTATTCATGGTTATGTTGGTGTGAGTCAGTCAGTCAGTCAGTTGCAACGTAGAACTTCGTACGTATGTACATAAGTTCATGTTGCCATACCACATTATTAGCACAGAGACGCAAATGTCAAATCAAATTCCATGGTGATAAAGATGGTAGAGGTATTAATGTTATAATAAAGAAGACTAGGGTTTAAGATATTATTCAAGAAATATAATTCAGTGAGATAAGGTTAGAAAGACAAAGGTAGAGGTGCTGGCTAATCCAGAAGATTAGGATTTGAGAGAGCTCAAAGAGTGGATGCACCTGCGCCATTGCAAACGATTTTGAGCCATGTCGTTCAAGGTCTCTAACCATTGATGACTTTCGTCTCGCGAACCCATGTTGGTGTGAGGGTATAATAACATAGCTTAGGTATTAAAATAAATCACTATTATAGACTTATGTACATAAAACTAAACGATACCTTTCGTATGAAGCGAATAATGTACATTTTCTAGATCGAGGGTGAAATGGAAATCTTACCTCCAACTAAATAGAATTAAATCGAACGCTTGAATATGTAGGTTACCGTTGAACTTAAAATACGACTGATTGAAGTTAGTTATATGCTTTCTTTTATGTATATACAGTTTTAATTTCAATTTAAACGTTCCATACTATTTAAATTAACATATATAATCCTTATAATAAAGGTGTGACATTCATAAATTTGATTTTATTTTACTCCTTTCAACTAAGGTCATCTACAGCAACAGATTATATATATATTATATTAGCTAAGCTTATTTATGTATGCTTGAAACGAAGTCTTTTAACAATGGGATTCCGTACAATTTACAAAGAGACAGCACGTTTGAAATATGCAAGTGTTGGTCAAACGACTTCGTTCAAGTTTGAGATAAAAATAGAAATCAGTGAATCTCACAATGTATTAATTAACTTAAAAACTGCTTTACGTTTCATAATAAAATCAAGATACTTGCAACAATATTTTGAATTATGTGCAGGGTAGTCTAAAATCGAACCGCGATATTACGGCTAGCTATATTATGATCCGCTTAGAGAACAACAAGCACTTTAATGAAAAAATTAGAAGATTCACTTGGTAAAATCGAGAAGTACATACTTGCAAGTTGTTAAATCAGGAAACAAGAAAACACGTGATCTAACATAACAACTAAAATCAAATTATTTAATCCATAAACTATGAGTAAATGAAGACACTGACCAGATACGTAAACTGATGGTTTAATGACCAAATAAACCATTGACCACTGAACAAACCACCGACCATTAGCCTTATTAAATGCATATACTAGTGAATACGTAACATGATTCCATCAAATACTTAGCATATATGGAGAAAGTAACTGTCTTGAAACAGTTCAAAAGAAGTGATATGCAGACATTTTCACATACTTGATGAGATGAACAGTTGGAAGGTGCGGGACTTTCCGAAAGGCTTCTAAAATTTGACTTTATTGATTTGGGTTGGAATTCAGTGATGATAACACTGTAACCATTTGCGAAGATTTCGAAAAGTAATGGTGATGATCGATCAAAGTGTTTGAACCGAAAGTTACTACAAAAATCATATAGTAACTGATAACATACCTTGGTAAAGACTGCTTACATTTGGATTCTCTTTTCCTTTTCTGTTCATCATCCTTTTCCTTCAGTATAGTCTGAGCAATCAGCTGTTGCTGCTCCACGACTTGATTATTCAGTCTAGGCTTTCTGAAACAGTCTTGTATAAAAACATAATCCATACCTTGTGGAAGTTCCTTTTCTGGTATGACATATTTCACACTTATATGATTCTTTTGGATTTATGTAAGTACAAACGCTACAATCCCATTTATCATCCTCGTCACTGCGCAATCTCCTCTGAAGTCTAACAAAGCCATAAAAAGTAATCAATATTGAGTGACGAGTTTTCTTACCGATGTAACTCACTTGCTTTCGCCTCCATGATAAAAAAAACCAGATCAACAGAATTCGTCTTCAAATTAACCAAACCATGAATAACCTTCAGATGAAGGTTGCTACATGCAGATTCAAAAGGCAATCAACGATGCTGGAGATGATAAAATTCGAAATGAATGGTCGTTAACTCGGGAATTGATAGATTATTTAGTATTGAGATTTAATGACATAAGGGATTGCATTTCAACCGATTTTATAACTGCTATTTGTATAGAGGTGTACTATCCAATATCCAATATCTTTTTCACAATTCATTTCTTTGCGCTCGATTCTTGTTATTTTGGTACGCTTCCAGGTGTTTGGTAAAAATAACAAGGAGAAAATTCTAATGCTAATATTAGAATTTCAGAACTAGGTAATATATAGATAATTTAGTTTATCAATTGGTTGTGAAGACCGTGAGAGAGGACCGAAGTATAATCAAGAGAGAGGAAACATAGGTAACAGGCAAGTGAGAATAATTTAGTGATCTGAGGAGATGGCATTAGTAACAACTAGCAGGTCTCAATATATGCATCATGAACAGCTTGCCCAAGAAGGAGATGATAATTCATATGTGGGTACCTGATTATCAAGTCTCTTCTTAAGGCTATCTTCTGAGGGAGGCTGTAGTCACCTCGGCTGGGAGAGCATCCCAAGTTGCAACGACTCACAATGAGAAAAAGTGTGCACGAACCTGAGTATTCGCTCTTTGATGCGCAATTTTTCGAAGATTGCCTCGAGAGAAGTGGTGGTGATGCATCGGTGAAATGCTCACGTTGGGATGGTTTGATGAGCTCAATATGTTGTACTCAGTAATCAGATTACCTCTGATTCTCCTGTAACTCAGGTGTGATGATCCCAAGTGCTAGAGTCAGGTTTGTTCTCCAACCCTATCACTCATTTCGTTGCTCGTCTCTGTACTCGATCCAAGCGATTTACGTCTCTTTTAAGCAGAGGGAGTGCGATGACGTTGTACACCTCCAAGTGTGGGTGCGCGTATGTCTTAAGTAACTTTAAGAATAACTGTGGGGTGATAGCACGAAGTTGTCTTCGCATAAAGTAAAGAGTCGCATTCGCCTTGGCAGCGTCCTCGATATAGTTCGGGCTTGTGTGGAGGCTTTCTTTGGTTATTAAACCTAGATCGCTCTCTGAGGAGACATTAGGGAGCAGAATTCCATTGAGGGTGTAAATCGTTTGCGTCATGTGGTGCAGAATGTACATGATGTGACATTTCGGCTGGTTTGGTTTTATAACGTTTTTCCCTGCCCATTCCTCAATTGATGTCTTTTTGATGCTCAGTCAAATCCTCTTCGCATCTAATGGACCTCCAGATCTTCGCATCGTCTGCGTAGATCGATGCCGCTGAGCTAAGTAAGTCTAACAGGTCGCTGGTAAATATCAGGAAAAGGAGATTAGATTCGCAGGACCTGCCTTTCCGAAACCTGATGAGTGTCAAGGAGTATTTTATTCTTATCCATATACTCCCTCATCTGTCCATTCACCAGCCCTTCTATTACTCTTGATATTATTGATATTAATGCGACTGCTCTGTAACAGACTGTGTCCTTTCTATCTCCTCCTTTGAAGATTTGAGACAGAGTAACTTGTCTCCATTCCATTGGGAATTTGTGTGACTCCAGTGAATGCCGAACAGGTCACATATCGGTGAACAGAGGACTTCTGCACATTGTTTCAAGACTATTGGGCGAACATTGTCACAACCTGGTGACTTTCTTGAGCGTAAGGATTTTAGTTTACTCATTACTAAGTCAGGATTAACACGGATATTCCCTTAACCGTCAGCTGGCATTGGGTTTGCGTAGTACTCTGAACATGTAGATGCTGAGTTCAACGTATCAGTGAAGTTTGTGTTGAAGATCTCGGCCATCTCTAGGTTGGTGAGGTCTTCCCCAATTTGAACCTTTCAGGGAACACAAACCCTAATTCGTAGGTTTCCTTTTAGTCATTAACCTAAACATATGCTTAGGGTTTGCCTGTATTTTGGCAGCTAGCTTGATGTTAAGGCGTCTCCTGTCACTTCGAAATTTGGTATTGAAGCTGTTTCTCAAAGCCAAGCAGGAACTACTGTCGGAATACTTCGAGGAGACCTTCAACTTGTACCAGGCTCTCCTCTTCGCCTTTAGCAAGCGTTAATGCCTCGCTTAACACATGCTCTTCTATTCCCAGGTGTGTGGTGTGACGGTGGTACATTGTCTACGACAGAATTCCGGGGGATGTCTCACTGTTTACAAGTGATCATCTGCTGTCAGCTTCCACCATTCTCATGGCCATGGGGCATGTTGAAGGATCTCTCTCATACGCGTGTAATTTTACCTAATGTAGCAACTATAGGCCTAGTTTTCTCCCTGTCATTGATGACCATGTTAAACAAGACTGTCTCATGGTCATTACTTCCTTTTGGTGTATGGACGTAAACATTTTTGACCAGGAGCTGATAATTTCTGAAAAAATAATCCAGGTTAGATGACTTTCCCTCCTTAGTCCATCGAGTGGCACTGCATACAAGCTCAATAAGCCTAGAGCTTCTAATGGCTGTGCTAAGCCGTCTCTGGAACCAACCAGTGGGAGTTTACCCTAATTGCTGAGATTTATAGATGTGGTGTTGAGATCTCCAGCTAAGATAACTGGACCTAACCCAAGGAGTGGCAGTTGCAGTATCGCCTCAGTCAGTTTGTCCTTCTGGGCCTTAGTACCTGAGGGAGGTCGGTAAATCCTTCCAATCAAGTATTCCGTGAAATTTGTGCGGAAGCAACACCAAAATGCTTCTATCACCTGAGTTAGTTGGGTGTCCTATAGCCTCTCGGCCTTTAAGTGGTTATTTACATATTTATAAATATAGACACTCTCCCTCCTATTTGGTGTACCCTATCGCTTCGGAAGAGTGTCATGCCTTCGTTGTCTGAGATGTCAGAGGATAGCCATGTTTCGGTTAGGATTATGATCTTCAGATCCACATGAAAGCACATATTCCTGATTTCTAACAGCTTACCCCTTAGTCCTCTTACGCTGCTATAGAGGCACTCGTTACTTTGTCTCAGCACCTGGTGCACATCTGCTGCAACAACCGGTGTCGGTTTTTCAAACAAGCTGTTCAAACCGAATTGCTCAGTTCTGTGGAAACTGGCCTCTGCAGGTGTTTTGCCTGGGCAGTGATTTCAGTCGGCTAGGCTTTTATCTTCGCGTCTTGTGCTAGGGGCCAACTGACAATTTCTTACGCTTATTATGGCCTCCCTCTTGTTATCTCACAGATCTTGGTCGGCTTCAGCAACACCTAATGTGGCTAGAATGGTCGTTCTTCGAAGTGTACCAGGCAGTAACTTCAGCCTTTGGTTGTTTTTCGTTTGGTCAGGAGGTACCTTGTGTTCTGGGAGTATCTGTGGAGAGGAAAGAACAAAAGAAAAATGTGGGCCGAAGACTCAGTAAGCACACTGAACGCACTTACATTTAGTAGAGAAATCAATAGATAGAAACAAGAAATAATGAATCGAAACTAGTCATTAGTGTAAGGTTTCGAATGTGTTTGAACCATCATAGCTCTCTACGGCCTATGGCAGATTTTCACATAAAATGAAAAGTTAATTAATAATGCAAGCAGGTCACATCCACGAATTGCTGATACCGGTAGCAAACAGTCAGTGATTTCTAAGAGGAATTTTTAAATAATGACGTCCAAGTCACAACAACTACGATACTCAGAGCCTACAGGTTTGTCGATGAATGATAGAAAATCATTAGGAGCACTTGACGGTCATTTCAAAATGATGATAATATTTTACTCCCAAATAACATGTTGCAAAAGGCATGCCAATTTACAGACTAGATCAAAATGGAGGAAATTCAGAAGAACTAAATGGTTAGAAATGATACTGATTTGCAGACTATAATAATAAAGGACAGTGATCTGATGCTTTGGTGATATTTCATTTATCCTTTTTCTTTTTACCGCTATAACTCAATAAGTCACGGGTGAATTATTTTTTCACCATAATTCTTTACATCTACTTGTAGGAGGATTTCTTGGTAGTAAGTGAAACAAGTACAAGGTTACGAACAAGAGTCGTAGACGTGGTGAATAAGAAAAGTAACATCAATATCATTGATTAGTTACATCCTGCTATATCGTAAGGATCTGTGAGCAAAAAAATTGTTCTATCCCATAGACGTGGGTATGTTGAAGTTATTGGCTCACCGACATGAATTCTGGTCAGATAAACCACACTCCCTTATTGAGGGACTCATTCCAAGTTATTATTTAGTATCGTTTAAAAGTCATTCAAAAATTATTATTCAGTTGAACAATATATCGCCAGATTAACTATGCTGAAACACTTTGACAGCGACGCACTCATTAGGACTTCAACGGACGCATTTGATACAATAATCGGAAGTCATGAAACGATGGGCAAATTATAACTGGCAACTTTTAGAATTATTTTCGTGACAATCGCCAGCAATATAATCGAGGTTCATCAACCTTGTAAGGGAATTCCTTGCAGTGTAGTATGCTAGGTAGTAGTATGTAGCATGCAAAGTATCACAAAAGGCTGACGCTCTTCCACCAATGCCACTCAGCAGGTAAATCTGCTTCCACTTAACTGCAACCAACTGGTATTTTCGTTCAACCCGCGCCACGAATTAGAGCAAACACTTTTGATCGTCATGAATAGTTACACAAATCCTTTGGAGAAAATAAAACGGAGCACTTATATTCCTTCATTATGAACCCAGATGATTTATTATTAATAAGAAACGGATTAAAAATAGCATCACAATCGACCCGCTAACAAAAGGACATTCTTCTGTATCAACATTTCAACAACCAAATGTAAATTCCACTGGTAGTTGATAAACGGACCAAAAACGAGGCACACTGCAAGAACTCTAATGATCTAGGAATATTCTAGGAGTCTTCTACAGTGAAGGATCTCAGTTAGTGTCTGCATGAAATCACTGATAGACAGGCCATGCTACGCATCCTTCGAAGCAACTAGCCAGCTTAAATTAAAAATTTCTTGACATAAAAGCCACTTTTCAGATATATCTTCAATTTCTTTCATGACTAAATGTCCCTGATATTTTAGTTTGTACACAGATGAAGTTCAGTGAACTTCGTCTGGGGGTCGCTCTGAAGTTAGTACCGGTTCTAAGCTCGGAAAAAGTAGGAGGGTCAGGCATGGAGCAAGATATTGTTATACTTCAGTCATGAAGAAAAAAGAATCACATGCACAAAAGTTTACAATTATACTATAGAAAAAAATACCCATAAGATTGGAATCTCATAGACCAAAGATTATCAAACCATCATCCAAAACAAAGAGAGGATTACAATGAATATGGTTCAATGATAAGCGCCTACTGTCTTGTTAGGATATTGATCCAATATCCTAAGAGAATTATTGGTCAAATCCTATTGGTCGATTTCTATTGGTTAAAACTATGGTCGTTTTAACTGTCAACGTCAAATACTTCAGTGTTGTCCCTTATTGGTCATTCGGACTGTCAATGTTATTTCAAACGTTCTTCCTTATTGGTTGTCCTGATTATCAATGCCACTTCAAATGTTACTTCCTGTTGGTTGTCTTAACTGTCAATGAAACAGAATTCGATGCTGTTTCCTATTCGACCGAAATGAATAAATACGCATTATCTGTAACGTTTTATGACCACGACCAGGACCAGGGCTCGGTCCCGGATCCCTAGTCCTGGATCCTGATTCTCTTCTGGATTCGGGCCTCGTACTTTCTTGATGCTTTTAGAATACAGGTTCTACTTGAAATCACGTCTTCTTATTTTTACTAAATATGGGGGTTGAAATAATCGGATTCGAGTAGCATGTCGTGTCACCGGATCCTCGATCCTCGCTCTCGTTTTCCGACCAAGTAAACTCGTAATAGTTCAACAATATCAAGTTGATTTGTTTACGTGCAGGCGTAACATATCTATATAAATATAGTAAAGATCGATTACATAAGAGACTGCTGTCAGTCGTCGAGGTATGCCCAATAAAGGATTTGACCAATATCATGGGAGACCTGAACCAACAAAAAGTTCGGAATGGGCACGGAAGACGTAAGAACCAAGAGTGAAGGTTACAAAAATGGAACTGAATCTACGGTAGTATCACAAAAGTTCATTAAAACCTTTCTTAGGGATACTGACAAACTCTATGAATTCAAGATAACTGTTAGTGAAAAGTTTAAGGCCTTGCACAATCTTCTCAATGGACAGGGAAACTGCCTCAGAAAACAAATGGTCTGGCGTTGACCGAGAGGAAAAATCTTCAACGGAATGAGAGACAATTATACGGTTCAACGAAAATTCTCTCTGGAAAATAAACCAGAAAGACCAGTGAAAAGTAAGGCAAGAAAAGTAATAATCGACATAGAAGAACAGTGAACAGGTGGGTAGAACCTTCTGAACCTACAAAACACAGAAGCAGCCCTAACAGGCCTCCAAATCAATTTTGACCCACCTAAAATTGAAGAAATAAGTACGGCAACAAGGTAAATCAGGAATGGCAGGGCAGCAGTACCAGACGACATTTCAGCTGAGTCACTGAAAGCAGACATAGGAGTAGATACAAGGATGTTCTACACTCTTCAGCACTTTTTTGGATGAAGAAAAAATGCCAACAGACCTGAAGAAAGGACATTTTCTAGTGACTCCACTTTTATGAAGAGGATCCTATTGGTTTGATAGAAACACCACCTTTTCCAAACAACTTTCAACCAAATCCAAAATCAGGATTTTCAATACAAATGTGAAGACAGTTCTACTGTATGGAGCGGAAACATGGAGAACTACCAAAGCCATCATCCAGAAGATACAAGTGTTTATTAACAGCTGTCTACGCAGAATACTTCGTATTCGTTGGCCAGACACTATCAGCAACAACTTACTGTGTGAGAGAACAATCCAGATTCCAGCGGAGTTGGAAATCAGGAAGAAGCGGTGGAAGTGGATAGGACACACATTGCGGAAAGCACCTAACTGCGTCACGAGACAAGCCCTCACATGGAACCCTCAAGGCAAAAGGAAAAGAGGAAGGCCAAAGAATACATTACGCCGAGAAATAGAGAAAGATATGAGAGGAATGAACAAACTTTGGACAGAACTGGAGAGGGAAGCCCAGGACAGAGTTGGTTGGAGAAAACTGGTGAGCGGCCTGTGCTCCATTGGGGGTAACAGGCGTAAGTAAGTAAGTAAGTAAGTAAGTAAGTGGATAGGAAAGCACTCAACTGTGTGATGAAACTATGGCCAACTTGGGATCCTCAGAACCGAAGAAAAATCACTGAGACATTTAAGGACATACGTGAGACTAGTTAGCAACAACTGGATAAAACTAGAAAAGAAGGCTCAACAAAGACTAAGTTGATGAATGCTGGTCGGTGGCCTCCACTTTCAAAAATACATTTAACTTCTAGATTGCCCTTAAATTTTTGAAACAAACTCTCTATCCATCCCAGAAACCAAGCAAACAGAAGGCGGCGCTCAAATTTTCCGAGACTATTGCGATATATAATATCGGTCATACATTTTTAAAAGCTTAGAACTGTACCTTAACATCAAGACATCAGTAGTTGTAAACCAAATCACTCTACACTAACTCTCTCAAAGCAGCGAGAGTGATATTTTTTAGTTAGTGAAATTTCAGGCTTTAAAACATGAAAAACTGTTTTCACTCCACGCAATTTTCGATTATCATCTTAGTAGGGTTTTGTTTTAGTTGATCAACGATCTCACCTTTCACCGATGACCCGCCTGTCTTGGGCCAGTTTTCCCAGCTTGTCTTTTCCCTAGATGATTGGGTCCTATGGACAGTGTACTTTGTCAAAGCAAGAAACTCTATTACGGGGATGACATGTCATCAGAGCCTTGCAAAAACCTGTGTCCGAGTTCTCGCCCAGAAAACGGCAATTTATTAGTCCCAGGGGGACAAAATGCGCCTGACATTCACTCTGCGGGTGACGTTACATCTGAAGAGTTCGAAAGGCTTGTTCTTTCGCCGCCACCTGTTCCTTTAAATTTTGAGGCTGCTAGTGTTGCCATTTATGAAGCAGCTTGTCGTTCTCATTCCAGGACACAGTCAATAAGTGGCAGCACGCGTTCCTTGAAATCAAAACAAGAACTGCACACTGATTCACATAGCAACTGTAGTGCAAGGTCTTCAAGTAAGCCTTCAATGTTTTTCGGTCGGTTTATTTCATTTGTTCACTGATACTACATAGTAAAACCTTACTAAATGGTCATATCACTTTTGTATAGTTAAGCAACTACGTTAGTCCACCGTAGGAACTATCGCATCACATGTGTTAGCCATTTGGTGAGTGTGTAGGGTGAAAATATCAAACAGTTTTTAATTATCAGTGACTGTCTAATATATTAAGCCTTAAGTTATATGGACTGAAAAAATATGAGAGGTCACCATACGTTGAAAAAATGTGTCGATGTTGCTGTGTTTTGTAAGCTGTTACATGTAGTATGTTAACTATCACGACGAGAATAATTAAATTAGCCCACAAACTATTACTGGCAAAGTTGAAGTCGTTCAACAAAGTTCGTAGCAAGTTAAAGGATACCTCTGAAACTTTAACGAGATTACTAAAGTACTTCCATTATCAAAGGATCGAAGTCAATCTCAACTTCCTAGAAAAAAGGTTTACAGGTGGTAGTTTTTGTTCTCGGTTTATAAATAGATTTAATTCCGAGGTATGATCAAATACGTAGGTTGAGGAAAATTCCACCTCGGATTCGCTTCACGATATGAATCTGTCGTTTATTCGCCTGACGTACCACTAGTTTACTGATGTTTAAGCTCACAAGTCACTTTACCTCCATCTGGTAGGTTGTATCGTCTAAACCCCAAGCAACAATGTAATTTACATGATTCTATTGTTGGTCACAAAGTCATGTCCATAACCTAGTCTTGATTTTCAGTCTCTTCACCAGCACACCTCTTTTGAAAATATTCTAAATAGTCACCTGATTTCTTTGTTATGAAGTAGTGTCATGCATCTTTCTGAGCCATTTTACCATTTCCAGGCACAGGTTAAGTAAGTGAATAGTCAGTGTTACAAAATCATGAAATATTGCCTTCTTACATTGACCCAAGGTACTACATCACATCTAGACTTATGATCAGTGAAGTTAGGCATTGGTAGCACCAATGATAAACCCCAAATGCTCAAGCACGACTGAGGCTGGAGCGAGTCTGCTTCCCCTCTCATAATGCTCCTATAAGGCCTCATGTATATAACCCCTTCTCATTGTCTTCTTGATACTTATCTTGGAGATCGAAACGACGCCTAATTCGGCTTTTTAGGTCCAGATAATCCACCCAGAGGAGTTAGAAAACCCTGATTCAAAACCAATAGTGCACATTGGCCTTACGATACTGAGGGCACAAACGGTGTATGAACTTATCATTAGTTAACGACTACCACTGCTCCACTGATATGTAGATTAGATCGCTAGGTCACTCTACGGTCGTCCTAAGTAAAGTACCTGCTTTGGTTTAGGAACCCGGGTAGTATCTCAACCCACACAGATTCACTGTTATTGCGCCTATACATTTTGGCACTACCTTGCACCAATGTTTGTATTTAGATAAAATAATGCACGGATGTTGGTAAAAAAGTAACTAAAGGATACCGACTAGTGTAAAGCTATGAAGGTGATGAGTAAATGCAAGTTAAGTCGGTCTCCTAGTAGCAAATAAATCCGTAAAGACGTTGAGTAAAAGGACTATAGTTTTTGTGCACATATCTGTGCTAATATATCAAGTAAAGCAGGTAAAAGTAGGTAATCCTACAAATTTCTATCGGATTTAGTCAATTCAGATGACTGTTAGCTGTAAACTCTGACTCGATTAATGTTGTGACTAACTTGTCATGGAGAAAAGAGAAATATTAGGGGCGTATTAGGGATTTGTTTGTGAGCAGTTTGGTCTGGCGTGCTGTTACGGGTATGGGGGTGGATCTCACTTACCGGCTTCTCACACCGTGGGAGAGTGTTTCTTGAGGAACCTTTAAAGGAAGGTAGATTAGTGTTGGTCTTAGAGAGCTGGGAGCGTGACCACAGAGCCCAAGACACAAGTACTTGAGGCCGGTCACGCACGGCCCTTTTTACGAGAAGTTTGTAAAGTGTTAGCTCCGCTCTGGTTTAAAAGTGCCTTAACGCCGCAGATGGAAATCCGTGAGCTAAGGTCAGGTGTGACATTTTTAGGGTCGACCTTTTCTAAATCCTTCCTTCCTTGTAAGAAGGCAGCATCACTGCAGATGCTTGTTGACTGCTGTCACACCTCTCTACAGTCAGCAGTACGACTTCACCCTCAGATCTTGAGTAACTGTTTTTAGTCTCATCGTCCTCCAGTCGACCTTCCTAGCGTGGTATAATCTACAGGAACATATACTTACTTTACTTTCGCCTGTTACCCCCAATGGAGCATAGGCCGCCCACCAGTTTTCTCCAACCAACTCTGTCCTGGGCTTCCCTCTCCAGTTCTGTCCAATGTTTGTTCATTCCTCTCATATCTTTCTCTATTTCTCGGCGTAGTGTGTTCCTTGGCCTTCCTCTTTTCCTTTTGCCTTGAGGGTTCCATGTGAGGGCTTGTCTAGTGACGCAGTTGGGTGCTTTTCGTAGTGTATGTCCTATCCACTTCCACCGCTTCTTCCTGATTTCCTCCTCCATTGGAATCTGACTTGTTCTCTCCCACAGTTCGTTGTTGCTGATAGTGTCTGGCCAACGAATACGAAGTATTTTGCGTAGACAACTGTTAATAAACACTTGTATCTTCTGGATGATGGCTTTGGTAGTTCTCCATGTTTCCGCTCCATACAGTAGAACTGTTTTGACATTTGTATTGAAGATCCTGATTTTGGTTTTGTTTGAAAGTTGTTTGGAGTTCCAGATATTTTTCAACTGTAGAAATGCAGCCCTTGCTTTGCCAATCCGCGCCCTCACATCTGCGTCCGATCCACCTTTCTCGTCGATGATGCTGCCAAGATATGTGAAGGTGTTAACGTCCTCCAAGGTATCTCCATCAAGCGTGATTCGGTTGGTGCATGTTGTGTTGCATCGGAGAATTTTGCTTTTTCCTTTATGTATCTTGAGACCTACTGCTGCAGAGGCTGCTGCTACACTGATCGTCTTCTCTTGCATTTGTTGTTGAGTGTGCGATAGAAGAGCCAGGTCATCTGCGAAGTCCAGATCGTCCAGCTGCGTCCTAACTGTCCAGTTGATACCGTGCTTCCCTCCAGATGTTGACGTCTTCATAATCCAGTCGATGACCAGGAGAAAGAGAAAGGGTGAGAGTAAGCAACCTTGCCTGACACCGGTCTTCACCTCAAAAGAGTCTGTCAGCTGACCTCCGTGTACGATTTTGCAGTTGAATCCACCATAAGAATTCCGTATGATGTTGACTATTTTCTCAGGCACACCGTAGTGTCGAAGAAGCCTCCACAGTGTTTTCCTATCCACGCTGTCAAATGCTTTCTCGTAGTCGATGAAGTTGATGTAGAGTGGTGAGTTCCATTCAATTGATTGTTCCACAATGATCCGTAATGTAGCAATTTGGTCAGTACATGATCGATCCTTACGAAATCCAGCCTGTTGATCTCGAAGTTGGGCGTCTACGAAGTCCTTCATTCTGTTTAACAATACTCTGTTGAAGACTTTGCCTGGTATTGAAAGAAGAGTGATGCCTCTGTAGTTTTCACACTTGCTCAGATCGCCTTTCTTTGGTATTTTGATGAGGTATCCTTCTTTCCAATCTGATGGTACTTGTTCCTCATCCCAAATCTTCTTGAAGAGAATGTGAAATATTTTCGCAGTTGCTTCCACATCTGCTTTCATTGCCTCTGCTGGAATGTTGTCTGGTCCTGCTGCTTTGCCGCTCTTGATTTGTCTGATGGCTATACTGATCTCCTCAATCGTGGGTGCGCCAATATTAATTGGGAGGTCCGTGGATGCTGCTTCGAGGTCTGGTGGGTTCAGTGGAGCTGGTCGATTCAATAGTTCCTTAAAGTGCTCCACCCACCTATTTCGCTGTTCGTCAGTGTTGCTGATTATTTTCCCTTCCTTGCTTTTCACTGGTCGTTCTGGTTTACGATAGTTTCCGGCGAGCTTCTTTGTTGTTTCGTACAATTGTCTCATGTTTCCTTCTCTTGCAGCCTTTTCCGCCGTCATTGCTAGATCTTCCACATATTTTCGTTTGTCAGCTCTGATGCTCTTCTTCACTTCCCTGTTTGCTTCTGTATACTCGGCTTGCGCCTTAACTTTCTCTGCTCTTGTTCGGCTGACATTCACTGCTGCCTTCTTGTTCCTCCTTTCTTGAATTTTTTCAAGAGTACCAACAGAGATCCATTCCTTGTGATGGTGCTTCTTGCGACCAAGGACCTCCTGACATGTTGAAGTGATTGCCTCCTTAATCCCTTTCCAATTGTTCTCCAATGTTGCTTCCTCTCCATTGAGTAGATCCTGAAAGGCCTGGAACCTATTGGTAAGGACTATCTTGAATTCGTTGAGTTTTACGGTATTCCGAAGAAAGGCCGTATTAAACTTCTGTGATGTTGTCTGCCCCGTTGTCCAGTGCTTCTTTAGTTTCAGTTTCATTTTGGCGATCAGCGAGTGATGATCTGAGGCTATTTCAGCTCCTCTCTTGGTTCTCACATCCTCCATGGTCCTTCTGAACTTTTTGTTGATACAGATATGGTCAATTTGGTTTTGAGTAGTGTGATCCGGTGAAATCCATGTGGCTTTGTGAATGCGTTTGTGCGGGAATATTGTGCCACCGATGACCGGTTTTTTGAAGGCACATAGGTTTGCAAATCTCTCACCGTTTTCGTTCCTTTCTCCCAGTCCATGTCGTCCCATGATGTCTTCATATCCAGTGTTGTCCATGCCAACTTTTGCAGTTAGGTCTCCCATCAGAATGTTCAAATCCTTTGGTGAACATTTGTCGACGATTGACTGCAGCCTTTCGTAGAATTGATCTTTAACGTTGTCATTGTAGTCATTGGTAGGTGCATAACATTGGATGACGTTCATTGTAATGTCCTACTTCTCTGTTTTAAAGGATGCCTTAATGATCCTGGGTCCATGAGATTCCCATCCTATCAGTGCCTTTTGTGCATGTTTGGACAGCATCAGTGCAACTCCTTGTGTATGTGAA